GTTGGAGCAGAAGCTTTCGTGCGTGAATCCCCACATCATCGGATTCATGTAGTGGAAATTTCCAGAGACTGGTATAAATATGCAAGCAAGAATCAGGCTAGGGATAACAAGGTTAGTTCAATCAGGGAGGATGAGGCCCTCTTCTAGTAGTTGAGGTGTGAACACCAAGGGAGGAGAAACTGCTTTTGTAGCTGGCGAGCCAGTCACAGTCTGTGTTTAACCCTCAGCTGATGGTGTCCAATTTGCAAGTGAACTGAAGTTCAGCAGTTTCTCGTTGAAGTCTGGTCCTGAAGTTTTTTTGCTGCAGGATGGCTGCCTTGAAATCTGCTACTGTGTGCCTAGGGAGGTTGAAGTGTTCTCCTACAGGGTTTGGTATATTGCCATTCCTAATATCTGATTTATGTCCATTTATCCTTTTACGTAGGGACTGTCCAGTTTGGCCAATGTACATAGCAGAGGGGCATTGCTGGCACATGATGGCGTAGATTACATTAGTGGACGGGCAGGTGAATGAATGAACCAACAGAACTCCACTGGCCATCACATACAGTCCTCAGCTAAAACCTCTCCAACGCATCATCAGTGATCTACAACCCATCCTGGACAACGATCCCCCACTTTCACAGGCCTTGGGAGGCAGGCCAGTCCTCGCCCACAGACAACCCCCAAACCTGAAGCATATTCTCACCAGCAACTACACACCGCACCATAGTAACTCTAACTCAGGAATCAATCCATGCAACACACCTCAATGCCAACTCTGCCCACATATCTACACCAGCGACACCATCAAAGGACCTAACCAGATCAGCCACACTGTCACCGGTTTATTCACCTGCCGGTCCACTAATGTAATCTACGCCATCATGTGCCAGCATTTATGGGATGTGTCAGGTACCACCCCCATCCCATCTTTTAGTAAGTAATCTAGCTAGGTATGTGTTAGATTATGATTTCTTTAAATGGCTGAGAAAAGAGCTGTGCTGAATAGAATGACTATTCCTGTCTGTGTGTCTTTTTTGTAACTTAAGGTTTTGCCTAGAGGGATTCTCTATATTTTCAATCTAATTACCCTGTAAGGTATCTACCATCCTGATTTTACAGAGGTGATTCCTTTACTTCGATTAAAAGTCTTCTTGTAAGGAAACTGAATGCTTTTTCATTGTTCTAAGATCCAAGAGTTTGGGTCTGTGGTCACCTATGCAAATTGCTGAGGATTTTTACCAAACCTCCCCAGGAAGTGGGGTGCAAGGGTTGGGAGGATTTTGGGGGGAAAGACGTGTCCAAACTACGTTTCCTAGTAAACCCAGATAAAGTTTGGTGGTGGCAGTGGAAATCCAAGGGCAAAGGGTAAAATTAATTTGTACCTTGGGGAAGTTTTAACCTAAGCTGGTAAAAGTAAGCTTAGGAGATTTTCATGCAGGTCCCCACATCTGTACCCTAGAGTTCAGAGTGGGGAAGGAACCTTGACATGGTGGCAGAGTGGTGGGATTAACCTGAAATCCTTCTGAGATCAATTTGAGATTTTTTGAACCAGAAAAACAGATCTTAAAAAGGAAATTTTTTTCCTTTGGGGTTGCTGGAAAGGAGGTCCAACTGAAAGCAGCTAGTTTTTTCTCTGCTTTGGGGCCAGAGCAGAGACAAAAGGGGATTATCTTTGTGAATTGCAGGTTTTCTTTGCCTGGAGGCAGAGTAGTTAATCTCCTGCAGGGAAATTCACAGTCTTCACAAACCTGAGGTTTTTTTTCCCTAAAAGTAAATAGGGGGGGGGGAGTGTTCTACCCATTTGCCTGGAGACAAAAGTGGCAGGGTTTTTTGTTTTTTTTTATAGGATTTTGATTTTTTTTTACAAGGAGCACAGGTTTGAAAAGGAATTTTTTTTTCCTTTGGGCTGCTGGTAAGCAGGTTTCCAAGTAGTTGGAGGTTTTTTGCTTTGATTTGGGGCCGAGCAGAGACAAAGGGAATTGTCTTTTTCTGTAGGCTGACACTCACTATCAGAGAATAGGTATCCTATTCCAGCACAGCAAAATTTTACAGCCAAGTTTTGTTTGTTTATTTCTAAACCTCGGGTGTAAAGTTAGTTAAAAACAGAGAGGTTAGGATGACAGAATCCATGGCTCAACAAGAGCTGGAATTAGCCAGATTTCAGGCTGAGGAAAAACAAAAGGAACATGAAAGACAGATAGAGCTCATGCGGCTGGAGAAGGAGGTACAGGAGGCTGCCCACAGGAGGGAAATGGAGGCAAGGAAGCATGTGGAGGAGGAGAAGGAAAAAGAGAGGAAGCATGTGGAGGAGGAGAAGGAAAAAGAGAGGAAGCATGAACTGGAGATGGAGAAGGTAAAGGCTCAGCAGAATATACCAACAAACCCTAGCAATCCTTCTCCAGGTACCACTTCCCATCCCAGAAAGTTCCCCACCTACAAGGCAGGCGATGATACGGAGGCCTTCTTAGAAAACTTCAAAAGGGCCTGCCTTGGGTACAGCATCTATGCATGGTAGAACTGAGGCCGCAGCTCAGTGGATCCTTAGCTGAGGTGGCGGCTGAAATGCCTAGAGAACACATGAACAACTATGAACTGTTTAAATCCAAGGCGAGAGTCAGAATGGGGATAACACCCGAGCATTCTCATCGGAGGTTCAGAGCCCTAAGGTGGAAACCAGACATGTCATTTACCCGACATGCCTACCACATTGTGAAACATTGGGATGCCTGGATATCGGGAGCAAGTGTTGAATCTCCAGTAAATTTGCCCTTCCTAATGCAAATGGAACAATTCTTAGAGGGTGTTCCGGAGGAAATAGAAAGATACATCCTAGATGGGAAGCCCAAAACTGTAATCGAGGCAGGAGAGATTGGAGCCAGATGGGTGGAGGTGGCAGAGAAGAAGAAAACTGGTCGCAGTTGGAGCGGAGACCAGAAGGGACAACCCCAGACCACACTCTATTACCGGGGGCTGCCCAAGGCCCCACCTACCTCCCAAAGAACCCTCCAGACACCTTATCGTCCCACCACCCCGTTCTCCAGCAACCCACCTCGCCCCAGTGACCCGTCAGCTGGACGATGTTTTAAATGTAACGAGCTGGGGCATGTAAAGGCCAATTGCCCCAAGAACCCCAACAGATTACAGTTCATTGCACCGGAATCACACCAAAGATCCTCAAGCCCAGATACCTCCCAGATACACTTGGAGTGGAGGGAAACTGTGAGTGTGGGCGGGAAGAAGGTCACCGCGTAGAGGGACACCGGAGCACAAGTGTCAGCTATCCATGCTTCCTTAGTGGACCCCAATTTAATCAATCCAGAGATCCAAGTGACGATTCAACCCTTGAAGTCCAACTCTTTCAATTTGCCTACAGCCAAGTTGCCTGTCCAGTACCAGGGCTGGTCAGGAACGTGGACTTTTGCAGTCTATGATGATTATACCATCCCCATGCTGTTGGGGGAAGACTTGGCCAATCATGTGAAGTGGGCCAAGAGGGTGGGAATGGTCACCCGCAGCCAGACTAAACAAGCCGTGAGGCCTAGCTCTGTTCCGGAAACTTCTATCAGGTCCCGGTCAGAGGTGATGGACCCGGACCCCAGGCCAATGTCTGCAACAGCAGTAGTGGATCCAGTCCCAGAGACCCAGACGGAACCAGTCCTAGAACCGGAACTGGCGGAACAACCAGCACCAGACCCATTGCCAGCACTGAATCCAGTACTTGCAACCTCAACACCAGAGGGTCCCACCGAACCTGAACCGGCAGCAGCCGATAACCCTACACAAGAGGCTCAGCCAGAACCCCAACATAATGTCCCAGTGGAGAGCGGTTCACAGTCAATGGAAACAGCCCCATCCCCTACATCGCTTCCAGAGGGACCAAGCATAGGTCCACAATCCAATGAGGAACTGATGTCTCCAGCATCAAGGGAACAGTTCCAGACCAAACAGGAAGCAGATGAAAGCCTCCAGAGAGCTTGGGTGGCACGGAGCAACCCACCTCCTCTCAGCTCTTCTAATCGATCCAGGTTTGTTGTAGAAAGAGGACTTTTATACAAGGAAACTCTTTCTGGTGGACACCAGGAAGACTGGCACCCTCAGAGACAGTTGGTAGTTCCAACTAAATACCGGGCCAAGCTCTTGAGCTTAGCCCACGATCATCCTCGTGGCCATGCTGGGGTGAACAGGACCAAAGACCGTTTGGGGGGCTCATTCCACTGGGAGGGAATGGGCAAGGATGTTTCTACCTATGTCCGGTCTTGTGAAGTATGCCAAAGAGTGGGAAAACCCCAAGACCAGGTCAAAGCCCCTCTCCAGCCACTCCCATCATTGAAGTTCCATTTCAGCGAGTAGCTGTAGATATTCTGGGTCCTTTTCCGAAAAAGACACCCAGAGGAAAGCAGTACATACTGACTTTCATGGATTTTGCCACCCGATGGCCGGAAGCAGTAGCTCTAAGCAACACCAGGGCTAAAAGTGTGTGCCAGGCACTAGCAGACATTTTTGCCAGGGTAGCTTGGCCCTCCGACATCCTCACAGACGCAGGGACTAATTTCCTGGCAGGAACTATGGAAAACCTCTGGGAAGCTCATGGGGTAAATCACTTGGTTGCCACTCCTTACCACCATCAAACAAATGGCCTGGTGGAGAAGTTTAATGGAACTTTGGGGGCCATGATACGTAAATTCGTAAATGAGCACTCCAATGATTGGGACCTAGTGTTGCAGCAGTTGCTCTTTGCCTACAGAGCTGTACCACATCCCAGTTTAGGGTTTTCCCCATTTGAACTTGTATATGGCCATGAGGTTAAGGGGCCATTACAGCTGGTGAAGCAGCAATGGGAGGGATTTACACCTTCTCCAGGAACTAACATTCTAGACTTTGTAACCAACCTACAAAACACCCTCCGAACCTCTTTAGCCCTTGCTAAAGAAAACTTGCAGGATGCTCAAAAAGAGCAAAAAGCCTGGTATGATAAACATGCCAGAGAGCGTTCCTTCAAAGTAGGGGACCAGGTCATGGTCTTAAAGGTGCTCCAGGCCCAAAAAATGGAAGCATCGTGGGAAGGGCCATTCACGGTCCAGGAGCGCCTGGGAGCTGTTAATTATCTCATAGCATTCCCCACCTCCAGCCAAAAGCCTAAGGTGTACCATATTAATTCTCTAAAGCCCTTTTATTCCAGAGAATTAAAGGTTTGTCAGTTTACAGCCCAGGGAGGAGACGACGCTGAGTGGCCTGAAGGTGTCTACTACGAAGGGAAAAGTGCTGGTGGTGTGGAAGAAGTGAACCTCTCCATGACACTTGGGCGTATGCAGCGACAGCAGATCAAGGAGCTGTGCACTAGCTACGCGCCAACATTCTCAGGCACCCCAGGACTGACTGAACTGGCATACCACTCCATTGACACAGGTAACGCTCACCCAATTAAAGTCCAACCTTACCGGGTGTCTCCTCAAGCTAAAACTGCTATAGACCGTGAGATCCAGGATATGTTACAGATGGGTGTAATCCGCCCCTCTGGAAGTGCATGGCATCTCCAGTGGTTCTAGTTCCCAAACCAGATGGGGAGATACGTTTTTGCATGGACTACCATAAGCTAAATGCTGTAACTCGCCCAGACAACTGTCCAATGCCACGCACAGATGAACTATTAGAGAAACTGGGACGGGATCAGTTCATCTCTACCTTGGACTTAACCAAGGGGTACTGGCAGGTACCGATAGATGAATCCGCCAAGGAAAGGTCAACCTCCACCACACATCTCGGGCTGTATGAATTTAATGTACTCCCTTTCGGGCTTTGAAATGCACCCGCCACCTTCCAAAGACTTGTAGATGGTCTCCTAGCGGGATTAGGAGAATATGCAGTCGTCTACCTTGACGATGTGGCCATATTTTTGGATTCCTGGGCAGAACACCTGGAACATCTACAAAAAGTCCTTGAGCGCATAAGGGAGGCAGGACTAACTGTTAATGCTAAGACGTGTCAAATAGGCCTAATTAGAGTGACTTACCTTGGACACCAGGTGGGTCAAGGAACTATCAGCTTCCTACAGGCCAAAGTGGATGCTATCCAAAAGTGGCCTGTCCCAAAGTCAAAGAAACAGGTTCAATCCTTCTTAGGCTTGGCCGGTTATTACAGACGATTTGTATCGCAATACAGCCAAATCACCGCCCCACTGACAGACCTAACCAAAAAGAAACAGCCAAATGCCGTTCAGTGGACCGAAGAGTGCCAGAAGGCCTTTAACCACCTTAAAGCGACACTCATGTCTGACCCTGTCCTAAGGGCCCCAGACTTTGACAAACCGTTCCTAGTAACCACAGATGCGTCCGAGCATGGTGTGAGAGCACTTTTAATGCAGAAAGGACCGGATCAAGAATTCCACCCTGTAGTGTTTCTCAGCAAAAAACTGTCTGAGAGGGAAAGCAACTGGTCAGTCAGTGAAAAAGAATGTTACGCCATTGTCTACGCCCTGGAAAAGCTACGCCCATATGTTTGGGGACGGCATTTCCACCTGCAAACCGACCATGCTGCGCTACAGTGGCTTCATACCGCCATGGGAAATAACAAAAAACTTATTTGGTGGAGTTTAGCTCTCCAAGATTTTGATTTCCACATCCAACACAACTCAGGAGCTTCTAACAAAGTGGCCGATGCACTCTCCCGTGAAAGTTTTCCAGAATCAACTGGTTAAAATTGTCCTTGAGATGTGGAAAATATTGTTAGTCTTTATGTACTTGGTAGTATATTTAGAGGTGAATGTGTCTTATTAACTCTGTTTTTCCTAGAGCTCCAGGAAGAAATCCCAGCCAGCGTTTCACCCTAGCTGAGATTTGGGGGGCATGTCATAAATATAAAGGGAAGGGTAAACCCCTTAAAAATCCCTCCTGGCCAGAGGAAAAATCCTCTCACCTGTAAAGGGTTAAGAAGCTAAAGGTAACCTCACTGGCACCTGACCAAAATGACCAATGAGGAGACAAGATACTTTCAAAAGCTGGGAAGAGGGAGAGAAACAAAGGGTCTCTGTCTGTCTGTATGCTGCTTTTGCCGGGGACAGAACAGGAATGGAGTCTTAGAACTTTTAGTAAGTAATCTAGCTAGGTATGTGTTAGATTATGATTTCTTTAAATGGCTGAGAAAAGAGCTGTGCTGAATAGAATGACTATTCCTGTCTGTGTGTCTTTTTTGTAACTTAAGGTTTTGCCTAGAGGGATTCTCTATATTTTCAATCTAATTACCCTGTAAGGTATCTACCATCCTGATTTTACAGAGGTGATTCCTTTACTTCTATTAAAAGTTTTCTTGTAAGAAAACTGAATGTTTTTTCATTGTTCTAAGATCCAAGGGTTTGGGTCTGTGGTCACCTATGCAAATTGCTGAGGATTTTTACCAAACCTTCCCCAGGAAGTGGGGTGCAAGGGTTGGGAGAATTTTGGGGGGAAAGACGTGTCCAAACTACGTTTCCTAGTAAACCCAGATAAAGTTTGGTGGTGGCAGTGGAAATCCAAGGGCAAAGGGTAAAATTAATTTGTACCTTGGGGAAGTTTTAACCTAAGCTGGTAAAAGTAAGCTTAGGAGGTTTTCATCCAGGTCCCCACATCTGTACCCTAGAGTTCAGAGTGGGGAAGGAACCTTGACACCATCACATCATCCCACGCCCAGTGACCACACAGTCCTAAAGGTACTGCCCCCACCCCTTCACCCCACTCCCAGTGACCTCACACTGCTGCAGGTACCACCCCCATCCCATCATCCGTCCCCCAGTGACCTCACACTCACTCCCTGGACTCACATCCATGCTCTGGCCGGGTGGTGCTGCCCCTTCCCAGCCCCAGTACCGGCGCTGATCTGGGTCCATTCTCTCTCTCCTCCCCATGGCAGCTGTGGCGCAGTGCGGAGCTGACCGAGTGGGTGATGCCCATCCCCCTGCCGGAGGCCGATCACCACGTCAGCCCAGGCTCCGAGTGCAGCGTGGCCGGGTGGGGTCGGACCGGAGTGAACACCACCACCGACAGGCTGCAGGAGGTGGAGCAGGAGGTGGTGTCGGACGGGCTGTGCGGAGAGCGGTACCGGCATTACAACCCCACCACCATGCTGCGTGCCAGCAGCCCCCACGCCAATAAATCAGCCTTCCAGGTAAATATCCCCTCGCCCAGAGCCACTGGGGGTGCAGCAAGCTGCTCCAGGGGAAGGAGCTGGTGGAAACCACCATGGACGTGCCCCTCCCATGCTCCACTGCACCAAGAGGGGAGCCCATCGTGCATCATGGGAGATACAGCCCAGCTGGGGAGCCCAGCACGTAGGATGACTGTGGAGAGGTATCCAGTGTTAGTGCCCTTGTGCAAGGTGCTGGTGGAAATGGGTTGAAATTTAACATGGGCTCATGCACGTAGTGTCAAGAAACAAGAATTGCTGCTCTGAGCTGGGGACTCATCAGCTTGAAGTGACAGACGGGGAGGGAGAAATGGGTGTCTCAGTCAATCACAGGATGACCATGGGCCACCATCAGAATGAGGCCAGGAGAAAGACCCATGTGGTCCTGGGATGGAGCAGGTCAGGTGTCTCCAGTAGAGAGGGAGGGTTTAATGCCAGCGGAGAAGGCTCTGGGGAGAGCTCAGCTGGAATCCGGTGCAGAGTTCTGGGCAGCCCTGTTCCGGAAAGAGGAATCTCAGCTGGAGCAGGTGTTGAGAAGGGCTGGTGGGACGATCAGGGGAATGGAGAACCGGTCTGAGGAGAAAGGAATAAAATACCTGGGCTAGCTTAGCATAGAAGATAAGCTGAGAGGGGTCTGATTGCTCTATAAATACATCGGGTGGGGTGGGGGAAGACACCAGGTAGGGAGACGAGCTGTTGAAGCTAAAGGGTGAATCAAATGGGGATAAATGTGGCAGGGATCTATGGAGGCTGGAAATGAGGACCATTAGAGGGGGGAAGTTCTGGAAAAACCTCCAACAGGAGCCTTTGGGTAAGGGGAACAACCTAAAAAGGATGCAGACAGAGCTTGATAAGTTCATGGATGGGATGATATGACAAGGCTGCCTGTAATAACAGAAACGGCACTTCATGACCCAGTAGGGCCCTTCCAGTCCTGTGTTCCCATAAGGGCACGAGACACCTGAAATACACCTCCCATGATTAGACATGATTAGGCTTTACATTTTTAGCTAAATGTTCCAGGAAAAGTGTTGATGAAAAAGGGGAAACCCCCCTTCCCTACCACATGTTCTGACCATCTCTACTCTTCACCTTCACTCGAGGCTCTACTGGTGAACTCAACCCTGAGGCCACCCAACAGATGGGACCCTGGATGAAATCCTGGCTCCGTACATGTGGATGGGAGCTTTGCTGATGATGTCCGTAGGGCCAGGTTGACATTGGAGCTGACGGAGAATCAGTGTTCCCATCTCTCAGGAAATGGCAACATTTCAATCTTTGTTTTAGAAGAAAAGTTGAGATTTCAACATTTTTGGCACAATGGAAATTCCAAAAGCAGGTTTGACTCAGAAATGTTGAAATGTTTCATTGCAACATTTTCAATCAAAATGAAACATGCTCAGACGTGAACAGATTGAAACGTTTCCTTCCATGTGAACAAACTGGAAAGAGTCCAGAGGAGAGAAACAAGACATTGGCACCCTGACAGCAGGATTGTCTGGCTATGTAGACTCCCTCCTCAGGCCCTACGCTACCAGCACTCCCAGCTACCTTCGAGACACCACTGACTTCCTGAGGAAACTACAATCCATCGGTGATCTTCCTGATAACACCATCCTGGCCACTATGGATGTAGAAGACCTCTACACCAACATTCCACACAAAGATGGACTACAAGCCGTCAAGAACACTATCCCCGATAATGTCATGGCTAACCTGGTGGCTGAACTTTGTGATTTTGTCCTTACCCATAACTATTTTACATTTGGGGACAATGTATACCTTCAAATCAGCGGCACTGCTATGGGTACCCGCATGGCCCCACAGTATGCCAACATTTTTATGGCTGACATAGAACAACACTTTCTCAGCTCTCGTCCCCTAACTCCCCTACTCTACTTGCGCTATATTGATGACATCTTCATCATCTGGACCCATGGAAAAGAAGCCCTTGAGGAATTCCACCATGATTTCAACAATTTCCATCCCACCATCAACCTCAGCCTGGTCCAGTCCACACAAGAGATCCACTTCCTGGACACTACAGTGCTAATAAACAATGGCCACATAAACACCACCCTATACCGGAAACCTACTGACCGCTATTCCTACCTACATGCCTCCAGCTTTCACCCTGACCACACCACACAATCCATTGTCTACAGCCAAGCTCTGCGATACAACCGCATTTGCTCCAACCCCTCAGACAGAGACAAACACCTACAAGATCTCGATCAAGCATTCTTACAACTACAATACCCACCTGCGGAAGTGAAGAAACAGATTGATAGAGCCAGAAGAGTTCCCAGAAGTCACCTACTACAGGACAGGCCTAAGAAAGAAAATAACAGAACGCCACTAGCCGTCACCTTCAGCCCCCAACTAAAACCCCTCCAACGCATTATTAAGGATCTACAACCTATCCTGAAGGATGACCCAACACTCTCACAAATCTTGGGAGACAGGCCAGTCCTTGCCTTCAGACAGCCCCCCAATCTGAAGCAAATACTCACCAGCAACCATGTACCACACAACAGAACCACTAACCCAGGAACCTATCCTTGCAACAAAGCCCGTTGCCAACTGTGCCCACATATCTATTCAGGGGACACCATCACAGGGCCTAATAACATCAGCCACACTATCAGAGGCTCATTCACCTGCACATCCACCAATGTGATATATGCCATCAGGTGCCAGCAATGCCCCTCTGCCATGTACATTGGTCAAACTGGACAGTCTCTACGTAAAAGAATAAATGAACACAAATCAGATGTCAAGAATTATAACATTCATAAACCAGTCAGAGAACACTTCAATCTCTCTGGTCACGCGATTACAGACATGAAAGTTGCGATATTACAACAAAAAAACGTCAAAACCAGACTCCAGCGAGAGACTGTTGAATTGGAATTCATTTGCAAATTGGATACAATTAACTTAGGCTTGAATAGAGACTGGGAGTGGCTACGTCATTATGCAAGGTAACCTATTTCCCCTTGTTTTTTCCTACCCCCCCCAGACGTTCCTGTTAAACCCTGGATTTGTGCTGGAAATGGCCCACCTTGGTTATCATATACATTGTAAGGAGAGTGATCACTTTAGATAAGCTATTACCAGCAGGAGAGTGGGGTGGGGGGAGAGAAAACCTTTTGTAGTGGTAAACACCCATTTTTTCATGCTTTGTGTGTATAAAAAGATCTTGTGTACTTTCCACAGGATGCATCCGATGAAATGAGCTGTAGCTCACGAAAGCTTATGATCAAAAAATTGGTTAGTCTCTAAGGTGCCACAAGTACTCCTTTTCTTTTTAAGAACAAAAAAATTTGATCAGAGGTTTAGAAAACCTTATGTAGGAGGAAAGGCTAAAAGAATTGGGCATGTTTAGGCTAGAGAAGATGAGGCTGAAGGGGCTGCAGTTCCTTAGCAGCACATTGCCTTCTGGGAGCTGTAGTTCAGGCCTCTATTTTCCCTTAGGTAGCCCCTGCCTGGACTATGTCTCCCACAATGCACTGAGTCATGTGATTCCCATGATGCCCCAAAGAGCAAATCTGAGTTGCATTATGGGAGATGTACTGCTCCAGGGAGCCAAGTCCTTCGGAGAGAATGAAGACCTGAAGGACAACTCCCACAAGCCAATGCATGGTTAGGAGAAAGCAGTTTAACATCTTGTTGAACTTATTCCAAACTAAATGCTTCAGGCCATTTTTTAAAAAGTAAAATATTCTGATTCAGGTGAAACTGACCTGAAATGAAATATTTCCTTTCAATTTGCCTAAAGCCAAATTGACATTTTTTTTTTCCTGTGGAAAATTTCAATTTTGTAGAAACTGCCTTTTCCACATTCTGTGCAGCTCTAGATTTCCCTCTCTGCCGACCCATTTCCAGCAGAGGGCAAGACATAACTTGTTTATAGCAGTGTATAAAGGAGGGGACACAGAGGGGTGTCTTTTTCCGTCTGAGGGGGGAGTAGAAAGTTCTGAGACAAGTCCATTGTCCCGGGCACACACGTGTTTGTGTACCTGTAGCAAGTATATGGCACTGATGCCATTAGTTCGTCAGCAATAAACTTGGCAGAGCGCCTTTGCCACTGAAGCGAGTCTGGGGTCTTCTTGGGCAGGCCGATGGAGCTCTGCTGTACAGGCTGCATGGCCAGAGCCAGTAAAGCACACACATATAACACACACACAGCCAGTCTCTGGTGACCCCGGCCGCTGATCTGGTAAGTAGGTGAGTTGTTCTCAGGGCCGTCCTTAGGCATGCGCAGAATATGCAGCGGCGTAGGGCACCACAAAATTTGGGGCACCAAATTGCCCCAAATTTCATAATGTCCTACGCAGCTGCATGCTTCATAGGTGGCAGCACCGGCAGCCAGCCCTCAGCTGGTCCCCCGTGGGGTGCGCCCCCCTGCAAGGGGCAGGGACATTCCTAGCCGGGTTTGGGGGCTGGGACAACCCCCTCCACCCCTGCCCCATCTCTTCCCGCCCCCACACCTTCCTCCCCACCCCGTTCCCATTTTCCACCCCTTCTCCCAAGCCCCCACCCCTGTGACGGACGTGGCCCAGGGGATTAGCGGGGGGCCTGGCACTGGCAGCAGGGGTCAGGCCTACCCCGCACACACTGGCGATGGCGGGAAGCAGAGCAACCCAGCCCCAGCCCACTCCACTCCGCTGGCTCCCCGCTGGCTCGCTCCGCTTCCTGCTGCCGGAGAGTGCAGGGAAGGGGGGGGGGGGCAGACCGCTTTCCCCAATCCCCCGCCCCGGAGCGTCATGGCTAGCGTGAATGGAGCGGGCTGGGGCCGGGTCGTTCCGCTTCCTGCTGCCGGCACCAGGCCCCCCCGCTAATCCCCCGGGCCACTCTGGGCTAGTGGGCCTCTCCAAAGCAGCCCTCCACAGCTCCTGCCTCCGCAGCCCCGCAGGCCTTGAGCGCAGCATTTACTCACATTGTGCACCTTGCAGTTAGGGCGTGTGTTAGAAAAATCTGACAACTGGGATCTTGTCAGCAAAAAATTACTCTTACTTCTAATTTTTCGCACTATCATCCATGGGCACATCTTTCCCCATCATCTTGTGGCATAGGGTCATTCTTTGGTAACTTCCTTATGGCCAGCATTTCTTAAGCCTATGACTTAGTATGGCTAAGCTAAAATCTGACAGGCCTCAGCCTGTAGGCCTTGTGTTTCAGCCCCCTGATTTAGATACCTAATACCCAGTTCTTGCTTGTAACTGTTCATCAATTTTATAATTCAACAAATTAACTCTATTCAGCATACAGAGATTCTACATGACATAACATGTTAGTTAATCATAACATCAAACAATAAATGAGCAATAAACTAAAATCATTGGCTACACATCCATCCATCCCTCCAGCTGCAATACCCAGCCAACCAGCCAGCCATCCCTCTGCAATACCCAGCCAACCAGCCAGCCATCCCTCTGCAATACCCAGCCAACCAGCCAGCCATCCCTCTGCCATACCCAGCCAACCAGCCAGCCATCCCTCTGCAATACCCAACCAACCGGCCAGCCATCCCTCTGCAATACCCAGCCAACCAGCCAGCCATCCCTCTGCAATACCCAGCTATCTGTCCACTCACGCTAGAGGAGATGGACACTTCCCTTTAAGGCTTCAGCTTGCACAGAATTTTCTTGATCCAGGACATGTATTTGGAGACCTTGGTGAACACGCTGTGTACGACCCATCAACTCTGCCATAGGACACAATTCCCTGGGCCCTATGTCTCAGCCCTAGCCACATGCCCCACCAGGCGTGTGCACAGAGCGGGGGGAGGGGGAGGTTTCTGTGCAAGCTGCAAGAGGGCTCAGATATGTCCTAGATGTGCATGGCTCCAGGCTGGACCAGTGCCCAGATGTGCCGCAGCCCCAGCTGTGGGAGGCACCAGGCCACAGAGGATCCTTATTCCTGTCCCTTCACCTGGATGATGGCGGAGGGGGTGGCGTTGCTTTGCAAAACATCTGGCAAGTGAGGGCTGTGAGCCTGCGGCTGGTGAAGGCCCCAAACGGACACAGGAGCTGCCCTGGTGCACAGAGATGCTGAGATGAGGCCGAGTTAACCACAGCACAGGCCTCAAACAGCACCCTTCCTCTTTGTGGCTGAGACACTTCCCGCTACTGCTTGGCAGGGCTTCAGGGCACTGTCCAGGGTGAGCGCAGTGCTGCGATGCCCATGGCCCCATCAGAATACACTCTGCAGCCAAGGGGTTGCAGATAGTGACTCCCCTTTTCGAACCTCCCAGCTAGCTGGTGTGGTGGGAGGTCCAGGCGCTGAGGTGGCAGGTCCCCCATCCACACCCCGAAGCGCATGACCCTGAGGTTTCTTGCCTTGAATCTGCACTGCTCAGCCAGGCCTGTAACCCACCTCCCAAGCAGATGCTGTCCCAGCTGGGTCCTGACAATGCTGATCCTACTCCTTCTCCCCGGGGCTGGTTAGTGGGGGTGGGTCATAGTGGCCCCAATGTGCACAGCCCCCAAGGGGTTCAGGGCCCCAGATATTCATGTCCCCTGGACTACAGGACCCCACATGTGTGCATCTCCATGGGGTGCAGGCCCCAGATGTGCACAGGCCCAGGGGTGCAGGGCCCCAGAAGAGCATAACCCCAGGGGGTGAAAGGTCCCACATATGCATAGTCCTGGAGGTAAGGGGCCCCAGATATGTACAGTCCCATGGGGGCAGGAAGCCACATGTGCACAGTCCCCCAGGGAAGCAGGGACCGTGAGTCCCCAGGAAGCGGGGTAAGGAGGTGGATTTCAGGACCATGAATAGAGAATGCAGCCTGCCCTTTGCTTGGACATCAGTAACCCCGCGCCTGGTGTTTGCTTCTCAGGCAACTCTGGGGGCCCCCTGGTCTGTGATGGGAAGGCCCGGGCCATAGTCTCCCATGACAGTGGTGACTGGTCAACTCCCAGTGTGTTTACCAGGCTCTCCAAATATGTGTGCTGGATCAAGAAAACTCTGCAAAAGCTGAATCTTTAGAGAGGCGCGTCCATCTCCTCCAGCCTAAGTGGAGATATAAATGGGTATTGCAGAGGCATGGCTGGCTGGCTATTGCAGATGGATGGATGGATGGATGTGTAGCCAATGGTTTTAGTTTATTACTCTTTTATTGTGTGACCTCATAATTAACTAACATGTTATGTCATCTATAATCTCTGTATGCTGAATAGAGTGAAATTGTAGGATTATAGAAGTATAAGACTGATCAGTAGTTAGAAATATAATTAGGTATTAGGTGTCTAAGTAAGGAGGGCTCAAATGCAAGGCCTACAGCCTGTAAAATTTTAGCTTAGCCATACTAGGCCAAAGCCTTAAGAAATGCTTGCATGAGTAAGTGACCAAAGAATGACCCTATCCCACAAGATTACGAGGAAAGATGTACCCATGTGGGATATTGTGAAAAATTAAGAGCAAGAGTTGCTTTTTGCTTACAAGGTACCGGTTGTCACATTTTTCTAACACATGCCTTAACCGCAGGGTGCACAATGTGTGTAAATGCTAATGAGGTATAGTCAGAATCAGGGATGTCCCTAAGAGGGTGCGGGGCTTGAGACAACTCCACCCCCTCCAGCCCTTGTCCCGCCCCCACTTCACCCCTTCCCCCAAACCCCCGCCCCCACCCCGCCTCTTCCCGCCCCTGCTCCACACACTCCCAGCACCTATTCCACCCCTTCCCCCAAGCTGCTGCCCTGCCTCCTTCCGGCTTCCGCCCCCGCCCCCAAGCGATGAGGGGAGCCGGCGGAGTGGGGCGGAGTGGAGCGAGGCAGGCTGGAGGCGGGTTGCTTGCTGCTGCCGGCGCCAGGCCCCCCGCTAGCCCCGCAGGTTGCCCTGGGCCCCATGTCCCAAAGTGCGGGGCCCCACAAAGCGTCCCTCCTATGGACAGGATGGCTGAGGTCACAATCATATTATAAAAAGAGGGTACCCAAATTATTAAAATTGAGCTCCCTATGGGAAACCCGACCAGGAACCATCCCTTTACTGGCAATCAATTGGCCACGCAGCAATCACACCTTAAGAATATCCTTAAGGGTGTGAGTATATCTATATTTGAAGCTTGTGCATAGGTCTTTATAGGATTTCTATATGCTTGGGTAATCATAACTTTAACTGTAACTTTAATAAAACTTTTAAAATAGACTGAACCTTGTCCTTATGAATGTACGTGTGGTCATGACCCTTTGTCCTTATGTGTTCCCAGAGACTCTAAATCTGAAGCAAGTAGCAGAGGTTACTTTCACTCTGTGAGCTTGAAACTGTAGCCACTAAAGCCAAACCCACGGTGTTGTAATACCCCACTACAAAGTTCACTTTAAATAAAATAAAAGGCAACAGATGGATGGCTATTTTGGAAGGGTGGACGGAGAGCTGGATGGATGGTGATTGTGAATGGATGGATACAAAAGGGTAGATGAGGAGACTTATTGATATTGCAGAAAGATGGACGGACAGATGATGGATAGATACTGCAGAATGATGGATGGATGGACATGGCAAATGAGAAGATGGATGGATGGATGGATGGATGGATGGATGGATGGACACTGCAGAAGGATGGCTGGAAAGATGGATGGATATATATTGCAAGAGGATAGACAGATTGATATTGAAGAAGGATGGATGATCATGAATAGATACTGGAGAACGATGAATGGATGAACATAGTAGATGAGAAGACAGATAGATGGACATTGAAGAGGGATGTATGGAGGGACTGATATTGCAGAAGGTGGATGGATTGATGATGGATAGATGTCGATACAGGATGGATGGATGGATGGATGTGGCAGATAAGAAGAGAGACAGCTGAATATTGAGAGGAAAGATGGACAGAAAGCTCCTGATGTTCCAGAGAAATGAACAAACAACCAGTTGGGCCTGCTGTGAGACCTCCCTCCAGTCAGAACTTACTCTTATTATTTTCCAAGGCTACAGTCTCCGCTCTAGCCGTACAGATTCCATTCTATGTTTCTTCCACACTGTCTTTTTAAAATTCATATGGACGTCCTTTCCTGGAAATCCAGTGCGTCCATATCTCATCAGACTCTGTGAGGATTTGCAGGGAGGGGATAAGGGGGTTCCCTAGCTGGTAGCTTTCTGCCATGTTAGTTCATGATTCCTACGGAGCACAGCTCACCTACTTAACAGATGAGTGGTCGGGGTCACCAGTGTTGTCAGTTGTTGGCTGTGTGTGTGTTTTCTGTGTGTGTGCTGCACTGGCTCTGGCCACGTAGCCCGTACAGCAGACTTTGCTCAAACTACCCGAGAAGACCCCAGACTCGGTTCAGTGGCAAAGGCGCTCACCTCAGCCAGGTTTATTGCCGACAAAGCACGGTATTAGTGTCCTCTACGTGCTACAGGTCCACTGACACGTGTACACCCGTGACAATGGGCTTGGCTCGTGGGGGGGGGGTGACTTTCCACTCCCCCCTCAGCCAAAGACACCCCCTCTGTGACCCCCGTTTTATACACTCATACAAGCAACTTATGTATTGCCTTTCTGAGGTGGTTAATTACCCCCCTTTACCATGTCCCTGTTGGTTCGCTCAAAACATCTCTATCCATCACCCTGTTATCCTGATCTCATCTTTAGGAGGGGTCAGTATGTCCCTCTATCACCTTCAGGGAGTGTGTTTACTTTGTATTAGGATGTTCTGGCACAATCCTTTGGGAACCTGTCTACACGAACACTTAGCGCCTAGGGGTGCTTCTGTTTCTGCAACACCAGCCCTGTTCTTGGCAAGTTCACGTATCGGGTGGTGAACGGGCAAGCAGGCATCTGCTTTGTCACAGGGCCTCACATTTGCTTGTAGCCTGACTTTTGCTAACTTTACTTTATCTCAGCAGGGCCTGCCTTTAATTCAGGCCTTAGACTTTACACCAGGTCCCTTATAGCAGGATCTCTCTTTCTCCTCCATCCTCCATGCCCACCCACCCCTTCTATCTCTCCATTCTGCCATCCATCCATCCCTCTCTCCCTACACATATGCAAGTCTCCATTCCCCCCACCCCCACCCCCTCCATCCCCTGACAGTGTTACCCATTGCTGTAGTATGTCAGCTCTGTTGATGCTTTCACCTCTGCTGTGTTTGCTTGTTGCTTTCTCTCCCTGTCCTCTAGTTGTAGGCATCAATGGAGTGTAATGACATTCAGCGTTCTTGGGTGTTTAATTCATTCCACAGTCTTTAGAAGTGGCCACTGCTATCTCACACGACCATGCTGGGATGTTCAAAGCCACCTGCAGGAGTGAGGTGTTGAAATCCCATTGGCTTTCAATGGGCCTTGGGCCCCTAACACCCTGATGCCCCTTTGCAATCTCCAGCCCATCCTGTCAAGTGCTGAGGCTCAATCCCATGGAAGCTCAGCTCCCAGCACCTCCCAGTGAGGGATGTGGGGAGGTTTTCAGAAGCATTGAGCAAGTAATGGGCCCCCCTAGAACTTATGACCAGGAGCAGGAACACACTGGAGTCCACTCAGCCCCTCAGCCAGTGTGACTGGGGTCCCAGGGGAGCCACCTGAGGTTACTCAATTAGCCACAAACTGCAAAAAATGGGGCAGGCAAGCCCCCAAAAGTGGTGGTTGTTCCAATACGTAGCTTTACCAAGCCAGCACAAAACGGCTTCTATAATACCGCACTGGTTACCCAGAAGCCAATAGCACAGTTCCCTTACAGCAACCCAGCCTTAGGCCTCTACCCAGATCCCCACGTCAAATTTGATGAGGATCACTGCAGATCTTATTCATCATATAAGAAAGTTCTATCAATCCCAAAGGATCGGACACATTACCCACCAGGTTAATGAATGTTTCAGATCTTCTCCAAATACATGCTTACTTATTAACTTATGAACAATTCTTATTAACTAAACTAAATTTTATTTAAAAAAAGCAAATAGAATATTGGTAAAAAAAAGTTTGGGGGATGGACTAGAGGACCTCCTGAGGTCTCTTCCAACCGTAATCTGCTCTGATTCTAAAAGATCAGTATACATACAGACATAAATGCATTCCTGAGATCAGATTCACAATAGAGACGGTGAGCTTTGTGGCTGCAAAGAGTTCTTACAGAATTAGTCCATAGGTTATAGTCCAATATCCATATTCAGGGAGAATCCAAGCAGGCTTGGAGAACTCAATCTTGTGACTCAAATGTCCCCTGATGATGCTTAAGCAGATGGGAGATAAAAAGGATCAGGACCCAAGGGTCTTTTATACAGTGTTCTAGCATCCACTTGATCTTAAAGTCCTGGGTAAACAATTGGCTTTTGATGTAACCTATGTTTTCTAAACACCACCGGTAATTAGTTACACAAATTAACACAGGGCAATTTATCCATAAGCCAGTCTATCATAAACTTCAAAGAGACATATAGACACTGACATTATTCCACCCAAGATTCATCTAAGTGTTAATATTCCCTTTTTATCTCTGAATCAATAGCTATAGTAACAGACAGGAACTGTCTGTTTACATGGTTAGCATCTATAAGTAAACACACAGGATTTGTGTTACTTCTAACTTCTAACAACATAGGTTTACATTTCAAAGTTCTAGCCTATCTCGCAATGAATGGCCCTGATTACCATTTACATATTTTTCTATTATGTCTCTAAAGGTTGAATCTGGGTCATTTAGCCTGCAAGCTGCTTTACCCTTCTCTGGCCATGCGTCACACTTTGATTACGATATCTGCAGCAGTGTGAGATCGCTGCAGGCAGGGGGATACGCTATATCTGCAGCATTGTAAGGTCGCAGAGGTCTCGGAGATGGGATGGGTCGGAATGTTTAGCAGTGTGAGTCACTGGAGGCTGGGTAATGGGATAGGTGTGGTACTTGCACCAGTGTGAGTCATTGGGGGATTGGTAATGGGATAGGCGTGGTACTTGCAGCAGTATGAAGTCACAGGGAATTGGGTTATGAGATGGGAGCCATACCTCCAGCCTTGTGAGGTCTTTTGTGGTGGGGTGATGGGATAGGGGCG